CGGGAGGGGTGGGCCGGCTACAGGGTCCTGTGTTTAATCGCCCGGCGATCCCCCTGAAAACGTTCACGATGCCTACACTCTTTCCCAGTGTTTGCTCGTAACTTTTGTTTTTAACGAATATAGAAGAAATCAGTTAGTAGACCCAATTCTGACCCGTTTTCACGGCCTATGAGTAGACCAGCTGTCCTGGCTTGCACTCTGACCCCGGACCCCTGTCCTGGCTGCAGCTGGGAGCGGGAGAAGACCCACCATCGAGGCCAGGCCAGGACACCCGAGGGGGCCCAGCAGCAGGTGGCGGCCGACACGGACCAAGACGGGGACCAGGCCGAGCCCGCCGAGCCCCACGAGGTGGCCCTGGCCAGAGAGGAGGTCAACGTGCTGTTAGCCGAGCAGCGGAAAACTGTGGCCCTCAAGGTGGGGAGAGACACTGGGCAGGTCCGTGTGACACCGTGGTGACCAGCCGCTGACATTTACTGATCGCTGCTGATGCACCGGCTGCTTACAGCGGCCTCCCCTCAAAGGGCCCATCGCAACCCTCCTGCGGGCAGGAAAACGGGTTCAGAGAGGTTAGAGAGGTGGCTCCCAGTCCCCAGAGAGCAGGAGCAGAGCTGGGACCTGGCGGGTCTGGCTGCAAATCCATGTCCCTGTTAGAGTGGCGGCCACACCGGGGGCTGCGGGGCCAGTGGGCAGGGCAGGAAGCCCGGGGACAGAGGAGCCTGTGGCCATAGCAGGGGGGCACGAGCGGCCGTGTGGAGCCCACTGAGACCCTTGCGCCTGCCTGTGGACCCCAGCCGCTCCTCTGTGGAACCAGCAGAGCCTCAGCTGCCCTCTGCCAGGTGCTTCCCCTGGCATCTCGCTCCGTCCCCCAGTCTGGTCCTGGGCTCGGGAGAGAAGACAGGGTCGTGGCCAGAGGGGGCCCAGACTCCAGGCTCCTCTCTGGAGCGCGAGTCCTCTCTCAGCCTTGTGTCCTGAGAAGAGCAGCTGTTTATAGGAGCTGTTTATATAATGGAGACTCGGGCAAGTGCCGGGGTTGCTGGCTGTATCCCAGCCCACGAGTTAAACGGCTGCAGGTGTATTTTCAGGCTCCTGGGAAACGCAACGTGTCTGGTGATGGCCTGTTGCTAAAAGCAGGTGGCATTTATTTCACTTAAAAGCTTTGCAGCCAAACCAAGGACCTCTTAACACCTTGGCATCCTCCTGCCATAATTTGGAGATTAGCTGTCTGGTACCCAGGGCTGGATGACAAGGGCAGGGGGACAGTGGCCAGAGCGTGAGAGCCCACAGAGGAGGGTGGGTGTGGGCTCGGGGCTGGGGGTTTGTATCTGAAAGGTGTGCTCCTGGGCAAGCGGTTGGTTCTCTGTCCCTGGGGCTCAGCTGACCCTGGGAGGTCAGTCCCTGTGGGGTCAGCAGGGCCCCAGGTGTCCGGGCTTCAGATCACAGAGAATAAAGACACAGTTAAGCAGGGGGCGGCCACACGCCCTCGGAGCCCGGCACCCGCGTGCTTTCCTGAGTGCAGTCGGCACACCGGGGTCCGTCGAGCGAGCAGGCGTGGCCGCCAAGGCCCCTCGTGTGCCCTGAACTCGGTCTCCCCGCCAGGCTGGGCTGGAGCGGCGCCTGGCCAGCGCCAAGAGGAAGGCCTCGCGGCTGGAGAGGACGCTGCCCCGGCAGGCGGTCAGCGAGGGCCAGAGGGAGGCCCTGCGGCTGCTGTGCGGGGCCCACGAGCGGGAGGCGGAGAGCGCGGCGCTGCAGGCCGGCCGCCTGCGCACGCAGCACCTGCTGGGACAGAAGGACCTGCTCATCCGGCACCTCCAGCGGCACCGGCTGCTGAGCGAGCGGCTCATCCGGGGCCAGCGGCAGCTCATCCAGGGTGAGGCCCGGGCTCCGCGTCTCCCTCGCCTGTGTCCCAGGAGCCACCGCTGCGGGGAGCGCGGTGACGCTGCAGAGATGTGCGGGATTTGTGGAGCCACCTGCTGGGACTGTTTAGATTTTGTGCAGCCTCTGTTCCTCCCCCCCCCATGTACCCCGCTCCCCATTAGCACCGCCAGGCGGCCGCCCTGTCCTCTCACCAGCTGACAGCCGGTCAGGCTGCTCCGCCTCCTGGCCTCCGTGAGCGCGCAGCTGTGGACGCTCGCGTGGGGTTCCCGTTTGACCACCCGCGTTCGGTTCTTTTGGATGTAAACCTAGGAGTGGTTCTTTAATTCCTAAATTTTACTTCTACTTTAGAAGGGTTACCATTGCTTCATGATGAAAAGGTAGTATGTGAGCCTAACGGAAATGCTCAAGTAGGACAATTACAGAAACGCCCATCCCCTGAGAAAACTGTTTTTTTTTTGTTAATCCTTACTGGAGGGTATTTTTTTCCATTGATTTTTAGAGAGAGTGGAAGGGAGAGAGAGTGGAAGGGAGAGAGAGAAACATCGACAAGAGAAGGACACATGGATTGGTTGCCTCCCGAATGTGCCCCAGCTGGGGCTGGGAATCAAACCTGCCACGGAGGTATGTGCTGTTGACTGGGAATCAAACCCACGACACCTCGGTGGGCAGGCCGGTGCTCTAACCACTGAGCACACCAGCCAGGGCTGGAAAACCCTTCCCCCTGGTGGGAGTATTAACCTGCGGACTTCAAAGGGGGAGCCTGCCTTTGTAACAAGGGTGGACGTGCCCTGACCCGCTCTCCCCGGCTGCTGCAGACAGTGGCCTCCGGGTGCCCACGGCGCTGGACGAGCAATATGGCCTGTACGCGAGGGAGCTGGGCGAGGGCTCGCTGGACCGCCTGCTGCTGCTGCACTCAGCGGTGGCTGGCTCCCTGCAGGTGAGTCCTGGGTGCTCTGAGCACCGTCAGCAAGTCCCCTCCTGCCCACCTGGGCTCCGGCCTGGGCTCCGGCCTGTGCGGAGGCCCCTGGGGACACTGGCCCTGGAGGTGGGCTGCCTGGAGCCAGACACCAAGCAGCTCTGGGAGGTGTGGGGAGTGATGAACCTGGGGGCCTGGGGTGTGCGGGGGCTCCAGGGGTGCTGCTCACACACAGGTCTGTGACCCTGGGCTGTTGCTGAAGATAAAGGCCGATGGGAAAGAGGCCTGAGCCTGGGGAGGCCCTTGTTACCTCCGTGACCGGAGAGGCGTCTTCTGGGGCCTCAGCCGGACCCTCAGGGTTTCAGGCCTCTCCCGTGGGCTTGTGGGTTCGGCAGGGGGTCCTCCAGGCCCCTGTGTGGGGACCGGTCTGCTGCCCATTCTGGGGACACCCTGGGGAAGGAGGCCGGGGTGAAGGGCTCTGGTTCCTTATTTAAATGAATGCTGTGGCCGCAAGCACTGCCTGCGCCCTCAGCTGGGCCTGGGCCCCCAGCCCCCAGCCCCTCTGCTATGCCCCCCGGGGTAAGAAAGGAGGAGCCTCCCAGCTTCAGCCAGCGTCTCCCCTGAGCCCTGTTTTTGCTCCAGGGTCAAGGCCCACCCCGCGGCCCCGGCCCTCGCTCTTGCACAGAGGGCCCCCTTTCTGCCCATGACGGACGCTCAGCGAAAGGGAACTAATAGGCTGCTGGGCGGCTTTCCCCCGGGTGGTGGTGGCCGGGAGGAAAGGGACCTTCAGCGTGCATGTCCCTGGTCCCTGTGCCTCCCTCCGCTCCTGTCTGCTCCCAGGGTGGCTCTGTCGTGAACGCGTCTCCATCCCCAGAGGAGTCCAGCCGAGACCAGCCAGACGACAGGAAGGACCTCCCGTGGGGCGCCCGGTTTGAGCTGGAGACGGACAGGTAAGGGGGCTCTCGCTTCCCCGCTGAGTATCACCTGCCCTTGGATCCCGGTGAGGATTCTAGGAATTGGAGGCTGGCGACCGGGAATCATGACCCGGGTGGTCCCAGAGCCCCCAGTTCCTCTCGCTGAGGCCCAGCCCCTGCCGGCAGGGGTGTTTTCAGGATGGGCGCAGCCCCAGGAGCTCCCCGCCTGGAGGGAATGTGAGGTTGGGGAATTCGATGCTGGGAAGACCATTTCCACTTCCCACCCTCAACGCTCTCCTCCCCTTCTCTCTCCTTTTGACTTTTTATTTCCATATTTTCCAACACACCAAAACTTAGACTCCTGAACAAACACCCACAGACGCCTTCCAGTTTGAGTGCTTAATATTTTGCCACTTTGAGTCACTGTCTGAGGCAGCTCGGGCTGCTGACCGAGCCCCGCAGCCCAGGGGTTAAACAATGAAACTTAACTTCTCCCAAAGAGAATGATGGAAGCCCGGGCACTGGCAAGGCTGGTTCTGGTTTGGGGGCTCTTCCCGGCCGGCAGGCGGCCACCCTCGCTCCTGTCCTCCCACGGTGGGCAGAGGGCCCTCTCTTCCTCTCCTCAAAAGGCCACAGACCTGTCTGGCCAGGGCCCCACCCTATGACCTCATGGAGCCTTAACTACCTGCTCAAGACCCCACCCCCGGTACAGTCACATCAGGGCTCAGGCCTGCAACACACGAACTTTGGGGGGGACACCGTGCAGCACCTCCCCGGTGGGACTGTAAGCGCCTGACGTGGTGGGGACACAGTGAATAGAGCTGCCAATGGGCTGACACCCAAACACAAGGGGGTGGAGGGAGGAAGCCGGTTTGCCTGCCTCTCCTTGGAGAAGACTCAGGGACAGGGGCTGTGCCTTTCTCTCCATTTCTCTTCTAACTTCCCAAAGCTGTTGGTTCTGAGTCAGTTAGACCACTTTTGGGGGCAAGTAACAGAATTCCCCGTGGGAGAGATCTAATCAAACCAGTGGTGCTGTCGGGTGAGAGTTGGGAGGTGAGTGCCCTTGGGTGGTTAATTTAATGACTGTGATGCCCACCAGGCCCTCGGTGCTCCCCGCCTGTCTGTCCTGCTGTCTCTGGCCCAGCAGTGATTTCTTCTCGTAGGGTCAAAGAGGCTGCCACAGCTCCATAGATCACACCTTCTTATAACCACATCTAAAAAGGAATGGAAGGGCTGGGGTTTCTCTCTCATCTGGAGACAGTCCCTTCCAGAAGCTCTCCCAGGAGATGTCTCCTGACAGCTCATTGGCAGAAATGCAATTGCACGGCCATTCCTCGGCCAGTTCCCCAGAAACAGGGGAGGGGGGAGTAGGGCAGGCTTAGGACACCTGTGACCCCGATAACCCTGGGGCTCCTGGTCCAGGGAGGAGGGCTGCCGGCATCTGCCAAATCTAACTGCCTGCTGGTCGAGCGCCAGCTGTGTGCAGGCAGCTGGAGGTGGACAAGCTGGACACAGGCCCTGCCTCAGGGAGCCGGCCCTGCAGGTGCGAGGGCCAGGCGAGGGGAGGGCCGAGACCGCTCCCTGGCCCCACGGGAGATTCTCAGCTACACCCGGACGGTGGACTGGTGTAAGCAATGGCATTGCCCGAGTGAGACCGCGGTCACGTCACCAGTCCGCGCTGGCCGGGCGTTCCGCGGCTGTGGCGCCCCTTTGTGCCCTGACAGGGTGGGAGGGGCTCAGCGCCTCGCCGGGCTTGTCGCGAGGAGGTGGGGGTTAGCAACTCAGCCCAACTGCTGGTTTCTCCATTGCCTTCAAAGTGAGTGTCACAACCTGCGCTGTGGCCCACAGGTCCCCTCGCGTGTTTGGCGTGTGTGCCCCTCAGAACGCGGTGTGGTCCGGGCGGGACCATGTCTCCTCTGAGCCACGCGCACCTGGCCCTGACCTGCGGGCCGCAGCGGGCTGGGGCCAGGCTGGTTATCCCCTGGGAGGGCGACAAAAGACTGAGGAGCCCCGGCAGACGCCCGTGTTTCCTCCGCAGCGATGGTTACAGGTCGTCCAAATCCACACCCTCGAAAAAGCTTGGGAGGCAGGATGCCCTCCTTCCTCCACTGCCCCTCCGCGTCCTGCTCACGCCACCAGCGCAAGAGGTGGGTGTGGGGGCCTCGGGGCTGTGCCGGGCCGGGGCGAGCGGGGCAGAGAAGCTTCCAGACGGAGGGCCCTCTGTAAGCAGCCGTCACGATGGTTGTCAGCAGCTGGGTGACTGTGAGGACGCCGCTCCCCACGGGAGCCACCTGCCGCGCCGAGTGCTGAGGCAGGTCCCGGGAGGAGCCCCATCGGTGACTCTGGGAGTTGGTGTGTAAATGTCCTGAGCCTCGGCCCTCAGATGTGGTGACCCTGGGGCCTGAGAGCTGTGTGGTCTCACAGGCGTCCCAGGATAGGGACTGGCTCCCTTACATGCTTCCTTGGTCCTTGGCCCCCCATAGCAGTCTTTCCCTCCAAATAAACTACTTGCCCTGGGTCGCTGTCCCTGGGTGTGACCACCTGGTGGTGTGTGTCCCCTGCAGCAGTCAAGTTCTCTGAGTACGAAGAACTTGGTCTCCAAGCTGAGCTCCCCGGCCCACCCGGAGCTGGGCCCCCCGAGGGTGGCGGCCGTGGACCTCAAGGAGGTGGCCCAAAGCACCAAGAGCATCGCCCTCATCGCGGCCTCGAGGCGCTCCAAGGCGCAGGACCATGAGTGTGGCAGTGGCCGCTCCTCTCTTCACCTTCCCGAGGAGGTGGCCCCGGACTCCAGGGACCTGAGCCCAGCAGACAGGAGGTGGCCCTGCGCCAGCCCCGGCAGGGACAGCTCCTCCGAGAGCAAGGCCAGGAGGAAGCGGTCCCCCGGCCTCCCCTGCGGTGCGCAGCCGGTGGGTGGACACTGGCCTGGGCACTCGACCCCAGGGGTGAAGGCAGATGGCAGAGAGGGACAGTCAGGCCCAGCAGGGCCGTGGTGAATGGGTGGGGGGCTGGATGCAAGGAGGGAGGAGAGAGCCAGGGCCCCACACTGCACTCACCGTTCCACGGCTCCTTTCTGATCTGAGCACACGCACAATGTTTTATGTGGTTGTCTCACATAGAGATGGTGTCTCCGATATGTTTTTTCTTAGCATTATTTCATGCATTTTCATGGGCCTGCATAGTGTTTGTATCTGAACTTAAAAGAGGTCCATTGCGTGGATCTAAAACACATCAGCTAACAATACCCGCGTGAGGGCTGAATGGTGCACACTGACCACCACGAGCCACTTCTCACCGTGTGGGCACCGCGCACACACTGGCCCTCCCCCCATCAGGGTCTGGAGGATGACCAGCCACACAGGATCCCACTCACAGCTCCCTTGTGGTTTTCTGTGCCCTGTTAAATGGCCGGGTCGGTTGTCCTTCCTTTTTTACTGTTACCCATAATGCTTCCGCATCCCAATATGAACAGCGCTTTTCATTTTGGAGCATTTTCTTGGGATAGTGGATGGTGTTGACCTGTGTAAAAGTCTCAGGAACCTTTAAGCAAAAATCAGAGAGCTCACGGCAGAGCTAGATCTCTCTGTGTATGCTGGACGCACTGTGGTGTCAGCAGAAGTAAAGGGAGGACAGCAGCAGGGACCAGAAGGTGGGTGCAGTAATCTGGTTTCTCCAGAGAAACGGGAGTTGGGGGGTGGGAGGGAAGAGGGGAGACAGAGAGGGAGAGAGAGAAAGATATTTATTATAAAAAACTGGCTCCTGCGATTCCGGAGGCTGACGAGTCCCAGTCAGCAAGCTGGAGACTCAGGAGAGCTGATGTTTCCATTCAAGTCCAAACGCAGGAAGAAGCCAGTGTCTCAGCTCAAGGCAGCCCAGGCAGGGGGAGTCTCTCTCACTCACAGGACAGCCAGCGTTTTTGTTCCACTCAGGCCTTCACCTGATCGGACGGGGCCCACCCCATCAGGGAGGGCAATCTGCTTTCTCGATCCGTGCATTTAAATGTTAAACATCATAGTGGGTTTAGATGAGACCCCATCTGTGGGGGGGGGGGTTGGGGAGGGGAAACAGTGGGGACAGACAGCCCTTCTTGTTGAGGGTTTAAGGAGAATGTTAGCAGTGATTCTGCCCCCTGTGTCTGCGAGACTCCACGTACCCACAGCAGTCTGGCACACAGTAGGTGTGTAAGCAGTGCATGGGTTCAGCTAAAATGACCCTGACATCTTATCCCTTCCTGGCCTGCTCCCCACGCCCTGCCCTGCTGTGTGATTTATTTTCTTGCAGGCAACGGAGACGCCTCAGCTCCCCTCCCAGGAGCCTTTAGCTGAGAGCCAGACGCCCCCGGTACCCCACCAGCTGTCAACGTCGTCGGGAAGGGGCCTCTTCCCTGCCGTCCCTGCGGCCTCCAAGGTGCAGCCCAGCCTTCGCGGCCACGCAGGTATGGGGTCAGCAGGAGAGCGGCACGCTGGTTTTCTGTGTCTTTGGGACTCTGCCCCGCGCCCCACCGCCCCCGGTCCCCAAGGTGGGTCGTCAGAGAGTGTGACGGGTGTCTGCTCTTTGGTGGGCGAGTCTCAGGGCTTCAGGGCAGTGAGTTTCCAAGGACGCTGGCCTCATGGAGAGAACCAGTGACAGCTGCTCAGCCTCGCCGCCGGCCGCCCGACACCCCAGGCGAGTGCAACACAATAATTCCGGTTGTGCGCCTGCGGTCGGCGGCCTTTACTTGGCCCGTGCCCTGGGCCTCTCCGGCTTCCACCAGCATAGGTTTGAATCCTGGCTCCCGGGGTGGTTGTTATTACAGAGATAATATATGCTCATTGTGGGAACTTTGGAAAATAGATACAGTTATAACTAAGAAACATTTCCACACACCCGCCTCCAGAACCGGGGACTGTGTGGTGACATCCCCGCTGTGGGTGACAGTGACATGAGCATCTGCTCCTGTTGCAGGATATGGGGGTGTTTCCAGTTGATCACAATTGTAAAGGCAGGTGGGTGGGTGTCCGGGGTCCTCACAGGGGCCCACAGTCTGTCACTGACCTCGACAGAGAAAGACAGGAGTTGAGACCGAGGCTTAGAAAGGCCTGGGGCACTCGGACGGTACCACCCCTCGTGACCAATGGCCTGGATTCTGCATTTTATTTTTATTTTTTAAAATAGGTTTTTTATTTTAGAGAGAGAGGAAGGGAGAGGAATAGAGGGATAGAAATATCAACGATGAGAGAGTCACTGGCCGGCTGCCTCCTGCACGCCCCCGACTGGGGATGGAGCCCAACCCCGGCATGTGCCCTGACCGGGAATCGAACTGTGACCTCCAGGTTCATGGTCAGTGCTCAACCGCTGAGTATACACTGGTGGGGCTGGATTCTGCATTAATTTTTTTTTCCATTTAGTCTTTCCAGTGATTGATTTTTGTTATATGTATAAAAGTATCATCCATTACAGATTGGAAAACACAGACAAGCAAGCTGGTCCTGGAACTGGCCTCTGCCCCTCGTTGCATAACAGCTCCCCTTTATTTAGCTCCTACTACGTGCTGGGCACTGCACGGCTGTCAGCCCACTGGTCCTCAGGATAGTTCTGTGAGGCAAGGGATGACGATTGTCCCCATTACACAGAAGAATAAACTGAGGCACAGAGGGGTTAAGGAACTTGCCCAAGGTCACACAGCGAGAGGCCCAGTGGGGACTCGAAGCCAGGTCAGCCGGCTCCAGACCCCCAGCTCTTACCCGCACTTCCAGTGTCTTTTCGTTTCTTGTTCATTGTAGAGTGAGTGTGCTGAGTGGGTCGAGGGCGAGCGCAGTTTTAGGGCTCTCGGTGTCTACCTCGGGGGCTGTCTTGAGGGTGAGGGTGCCCCTTGGACGGCCCCAGTCACAGCCACGCTCTCGGAGGCTCCCCAGAAATCCTTGTTCTTGAGAACAAAATGCAGGTTTACCTGTGATTTCTCAGCCCGGTGACAGCACTTTAAACACACGTAAAGTATGTTTTCTCCTGTGGGATTTGCTGCTTCGAGACGTTTTCACTTTTTCTGCTTCCACACTGCATCGGAAACCACGGCGGTGCAGGGAGCCGGAGTCCTCGCGCAGGGGCGGGCTGGCTCTCGGTGCCTCTCCTCCCAGGGCAGGCCCAGGGCGGGCGGTGACCCCAATGCCACCGGCCTGCGGCCCCCACTCGGAGGAGGTGACAATGTCAGCGGCTTCCTGGGGGAGGGGAGCCAGGAGGTGCCTGTGAAACAGCAGGTGGGTGTGTGACCGGCCTCAGTGGGCTCAGGAGGCGACTTGTCATTGCTTAGCCGGAAGGAAGGCTGGGGTCTCCTTGTCACCCCTCTGCCGCCCCCATGCTGAGCTCATGATTCTGTCCCCCCAAAGATAAACCCACCGGGATGTGTTTGTCTTAATCACGGGAAGGAATTTGCTTTCCCGCGTTTCTCTGTGAAATTCCTCACCCGGACGGAGCGGAGGGAGAGCGTGGGAACCTCCGGCGGCCGCAGGGCACAGGGCGCAGGCCGCAGGCCCCCCACACGCCCCTGCTCAGACCTGTTTCTGTTTGTTTATTTGCTCTCTGGAGCTGTTTCAAGACAACCCCTGTCCTCTCACCCATGTGGGGGCTAAAAAAACACGTTTCCAAATTAACAGAGACAGATTAACGGGAGAAAATCAAAGTTTAGTACATGCTCCTGGGGAGTTCCCATCGGCATGGAAGTTCCAGACAGTGAGGCAACACTGTGTATATGAGACATTTGGGACAAAGGAGAAAGTGTAAAACAAGGTATTAGATTTCAGAAGTGAGAAGAGATTTGCAAGTACTTGAAGACCGGAAAGGAACAGGGCAGGAAATCCCCCGGGGCAACCCAGAAACCCTGGCACAGGCGTCCAGCCAACAGGCACCTGCCCCGAGCCCTCTTGGGGACCAAATTTAATTTAAATTAGGCTGAGGCTGCATCCTGTGGTCTCCTTCCTGACGCAGGTTTCTCTGTTTCTTAATAAACAGCTTAACATCAGTCTCGTAAAAAGCAGCTTCAGGGCGGCTCCGGGCCCCTCGCCCATAAATATTTCCGCAGCTCTCTGCCTGGTAACCGTGGGAGCCGCGTCAGAGCCAAAGTCAGAGCAAGTCCCTAGTGTCACCAAGTGCCCAGTCGGGTACAAGAGAGACCAGCCTTTTTCAGATCAAAATTAGGTTCTGGAAGGTGCCCTGCAGTTGTCAGGAAGGGGCTGGGCCCGGCCATGGGGGCACTGAGCCTCCCTCCTGCGTGGGCCCCGGGAAAGCCTGGGCCTCTCCCCACCCTCTGTCTGCAAAGGGTCCCGTGGGAACAGGGCTCTCACCTCTGGGACTGTACGTTCCCGTGATGGGAAAGTCAGAGCATGGCGGAGTTGCCGGTCCTTCTAGGTCAGTGGCCCAGCCGTTTCAGAGTGGTGAACTGAGGCCGGGAACGTGGAAGCAATGTCTCTGGGTCACGGTGCATGTTGGCGGCCCAGCCGGGATCGGCACCCCCACACCCTCCTGCTGCGGCTGCCGCCTCTGCTTAGACACAGAGCACTTTGCACTTGGCAGGTGTACAGCGAGGGCCTGCTGGTGGCCGGGGCGAACCAGGGATCCCCTTTCTCTGGCGGGGACCGGGCAGGTCTGGGTTGAAAACAGACCCTCCCAGGGAGCCCAAGGATCGAGCACCTACAGTTTGCTGAGGCTCCCAGGGGGACGGGGCCAAGGGTCCCGAGTTCCATCTGATCACTCGCAGCAGTTGCCAGCGGCGGTGTGGCCGGTCCCCCGGGGTGTGCGGTCACGAGCCGCCCGGTGCCCCTGAGCGGAGGGGCCACAGCCTCTGCCGCCTGGCCAGCGGCCCCGGGACCAGCGAGCACAGCAGCCCTCTCAGACGGGCTCATTTAACAGCGCCGTCGGCCGGGCGGACAGGTGAGGCCACACCCGCGGGTGCCCAGGCCCGCTGACCGCGGCCTCCACAGGGCCTGCTCCTCAGTGCCCGCCCCCGCCTTGTTCTGAAGAGCTCGGCAAGCCCTTCTGAAGTGCTGGGGTTCCCCCAGGCGAGGACCCCCCGCCCCAGTAAGAGCCGCTCAGCTGAGGGAGTTCGAGCCTGAGGTAGGGACTGCACGCTGCCAGTTCCCGGACCCGCCGAGCCCAGCCCGGCTGACCAGCCCCACATTTTAAAATGACGTGGCCGGGTGCACAGGAAACGCAAGTCCAGCTTCTCCGAGAGGAAGGTCCAGCCTCAGAGCTGACTCGGGTAACAGACCCCTCAGCGGGGCCCTCGCCGACCTGCGCGGTCTCAGGCCAGACCACGGCCTGTGTCCCCGTGGCCGGAGGGACGGCGCAGTGCCCTCTGGTCTTGTTTGTCGCCGCCTTCCCCTGCTGGCCCGTGAGCTCGGGGACGTTTGTGAGTCCTGTTCCCCGCTGAGCGCCTGGGGCTCCGAGCAGAGCCTGGCACAGAGCAGATGCTCCGTAAGTCACAGTCGAGGGGACGGACAGGTGAGCGAGTGAGTGGGTGAGTGAATCTGTGAAAGGTGAGTGGTCTTCCCGTAGCCGAGGCCAAGGGTTCGGTGACCATGGGCTCGCTGCGTCCCCCGGCCTCCTGCCTGACTGGACCCTGTGCCCCGGTGACTTTGCTGGCCTTGGGGTTCATCAAGGCCAACCTCACATTCTCTTAAATATGAGGTGAAATTCACGTAACAAAATTCGCCGTTTTTTTAAACTATGTTTTTATTGATTTTAGAGAGAGGGGAAGGGGGAGAGGGGTGGGGGGTAGAGAGAGAGACGTGGATGTGCTCCTGCTCTTATTTAGGGACCACTGGCCGCTTCTTGTATGTGCCCTGACCAGGGATGGAACCCACGACCTTGGGGTATCCGGAGGACACTCTAACCAACTGAGCTACCCAGCCAGGGCCCCACCAGGAGGCTTTTAAAGACCCCGAGGGAGGGCTGGTACCCTGCAGATGCCCTTCCTTCTCTCACCTCACTCCCTCGCGGTGCCTTGAACCCCCCCCATGCTACTGCCTGGAAAAGGTTAAGAATGTCTTGTTAGCACCCCTTCTTTTTAAGAGTTCTTGGGGAAGGGGTCTCAAAGGTGTTGACTGGCCGTGACCTTGGGGCCAGAAGCTCCCAGCCCAGAGCAGGCTGAGTCCCAGCCACTGGTGCACAGCAGTGAAAGGTCATGTCTTATGTGTGAGGGTCGGAAATGAGCCACAAGTGTTCTGTCCTGAGTGGGTGTCCACTGCCGTAGACAGGTGGCTGAGGGCCCCTCGGACAGGCCTGGTGTTACTTGAGCGGCCCTGGCTGGGACTCTGGCTTCACTGGAGTTGGCTATGACCACAGATTGATGTCTCCCCACCCTCTCCAGGGTCTACAGACAGCGGAGGCCGACGCCACAGCCCACTGCCCCCCAGCAGCCCTCGCAAGCACTGGGGTGGCGGTGCCAAGGGGCCACGAAGACCAAAGTAAGCAGGGCAGAGCTGGGAGGCCAGAGCCGCTGGTCCCAGGCATGGGGTCTCTGCCTGAAGCTGGGTTTGAGAGACAAGGCCCTGGCAGGGGCACTTTGAGGGGCAGCCTGCCCCGGTTTCCTGCAGCCTTTGCACCAGAGGCCATCTCAGCAGCCACCTTCAAAGAAGGACCACCCATGGGTGTCAGAGCCCTTCCCAGAGCCTCGCAGGGCCCCTCTGGTTTTACAGGTGATCCCGACTGCCGTGCTTATCTCAGGATCACTGCACATCCAGGCATCTGCCCTGGGAGATGCTCCCTGTGGGCTGGGACGCCCAGCATTGCCCTCCAGCTCAAGCTCAGGCTAAGGAAGCCATTGGGACACCGAGTGGCTGCTGGAAAGAAGAGAATTTGTCCCCAACCCTGTGTATTAGTTGGGACTGTCTAGAGAAACAGAACCAGGTGTGTGTGTGCATGCACACACGTGTTTGTGTGTGCAAGTATATGTGTGTACACATGTGTATGCATGTGCATGTGAGTGTATGTGTGT